GTCGCTGGACCTTATTTACGGCTTGAGATTTCGGATTCAAGCTGCATCTTATTTTCCACAGAGTTGAGTTTAAAAATACCGGTTTAATATTCTATTTGGTTGATTTTCATGGTAGGAGTTGGCGCATTCTGGGGTTTGATGAGAACAAGACTCAACATTGAGCCTTATTCTCCACTAAAACCAACCAAGGTCGGTTTTATTTTCAATGGGCCTAACTCCTTAAGTCGAGCCGAAGATCTTGCAGATGTCAATCACGTGACACAAGCCGTCGTCAAATATTGGGTCTTAAAGTCGGGTTTAAGGAATTACGACTCGAGCCGAAGTTTTTAAATCGCGGGCTCTGGTTAGTAAGTTCTAATCTAATCTGAAATGGTGGTGGTGGTGGTTGAGTAAAGAAAGAATGATTTTTTAATCCAAATTTATGAGCATAATGTTAAAGAAATCACATAAAAATTGCTAAAAATGTTACATGTCCGATTTACATCAGATACCTTTGCCTGAGCGTAAATTGAGCGTCAAAAATTGTTACAAAGAAATTGAATCTTTGCCAGGAACTCTGATTTTCTAATCCTTATATTTAATTGAAACCCAATGTCATAGACTAGAAAACTTAAGTTTCAGGCAAAGACTCAATTCCTTTCAAAGCTGATACAGTGTGACCCAAATTAATGCGGAATTACTAGATGAATACGGAATTAAAGCAATACAATTTTCTTTGGATCTTGTTAAAATTTGTTGTAACAGTAGCTTAAAAGATAAACTTACTATTACTTATTAAAAAGGTCTGTACTGTTCACTACAAAACTACAGTGTTTAATTTTCATTGGACTGTTTAAATAGTCGTCTTCCTATCCCATAGATGTTTTGGGCAGAACCTTATTATTTTATCTTGTACAATACACATTTACCCAAATTACAATTCAAGTGCAACAGATGGCAACTTAGAATTTGTACACTCTCAGTACAGCTGTATTCTTCCGTCACAAGTGTCAACTCAGTTTTTGTGTCCGACAAAATTATTATGGTGATAATTTTAGACTAAATGCTTATCTTACAGTGAAATAAGTGCAATTTTACACGTTCTTTATTTACTGTTTTTACACTTTTTTAAACATGTAAACTAATGCTAGAAAATTTAATTTTTCTTGTTATATTTGACACTTGTGACGTCGTGTCTAATTGGTCCATTTCTCCATTACCACCTATTGTACTTGATAATCTATTTGCATTTACCCGTATTCCAGTTTACTCTCAAATCCAGCTGCATCAGGCCACGCAGAGATACACTGGGTTCTATTATCAATACTTCCCCAAACTGTCTTCTAGAATAATAGATACATTCAGAGATGCACTGGGTTCTATCAACAGTTTACTAGAATAATATATACATTCAGAGATACACTGGGTTCTATCAACAGTTTACTAGAATAATATATACATTCAGAGATACACTGGGTTCTATCAACAGTTTACTAGAATATTAGATACATTCAGAGATACACTGGGTTCTATCATCTTACTTAGTAAATTTAAAAACATTTAGGTTATGTTATATGTCGATATAATTTCTGATTAAAAAAATAATTTGGGGTTTAAGTAAATCCAATGCAAGAAATTAAAAAATAACTGGTCTTAACCTTTTTTCTATTTTGTCAATTTCCCACAATTGGAATCAGCAAATGTAGAATTAAGTTAGATTTAATCCTTTATACCAAACTATACAATATTTTTATGGCACAGAAATTATAAATATTCTCAACGAAAGAAATTTTAGTTTTTTTTTCAAGGAGTGTTGTAAATAAACCAAGCCGCAGAAATTATAAATGATTAGTTAAGAGATAGAAAAGTTGAAAAGTATGAGAAAAGGGAAAATATTTTCACACGAGATGGAAGAAATATTTAAACAGTTTATCTGCAGTATAGAGTTTAGGGGCCCTAACCACAGAGCCCGAAACAAAGTATCGAAAATTCGTTTTCATGAATGGGGTCAGGCAGTTTTGTAGATACCGATATTATTTAAAGTGGCTTCTTTACATTCTATTGCTGTTTTTTTGATTTTTTAAATTAAAATCTACGCAAATGTAAAGACCTCAAAAGGAAACTCGGGAGTTTTGGTCTACGATACTCTCCTAAATTTCCGGCTCAAGAAACAGACTCATTTTCAATCAATATTTCTTTATTAAAATATGTAATACTCTGTTTAAAGGGACTGTACGCATAAACTCAAGTAACTCCAAAGTGGGCAATGCCCGATTTACAACGGTACCCTTTAAATATTTGACTGTTTATCCTGTAAAGCGCAGCTTACGCTGCGTACACTGTTAACTCATCACAGCTGCTGCGTTACTTTTATCCCTAAATGTTACCTATTATTTAACATTTAAAAGTTTCTTGCAAAAATTCGAAAGAAAATATTATTTTCTGCCAATTCTAGAAAGTGAATATTAATATTTTTAAAACTGAAAAAAAAACTTGAAAACAAAGTATTCAACAATTAAGTGTTTTCGTATATTATTAAGAACTAGCTTTGGAACCCAGCGTTGCCCAGGGGAGTCTTAGTTGTCCAACCGTTTACCCGCCTTTTGTCGTAAATTACGATTTTAGCTATTTTCCCGACCTACTCAACTTAGAATCTCAAAACCAAACTAAGCATGCATTCCCGTGGCGCTTCCGAGTTCCCCAATCAAAATTCGAGGTTCCTGAGTTATGATCAAACAAACAAACAAACAAACACACAAACAGAGATTACATTTTTATATATATAGAAGATAAGTCTGAAATCTTTGATCAGTCAAAGGATTTAAGATTTTTGCATTGAGAATTTGAGAGTCACTCGAAATTACGCTTACAGTCCCTTTAATACAGAGGATAGTGTTATAACTATCTTTAAATATTTATTTCTAATTATAAAAAATTGATAGGTCAATAATGTTTTTTCTACTAGCGTAAACATATAGAAAAACGGGTTTCATGTATGAAAACAATATATTTCCAATGTTTATTAATAATTTTAGTTTTCAGTACAATCGCGGACGCTCTAGGATTCCTCGATTAGGAGAAAAATGGATAAAATCTCTTTTGTCTAAACCTCTTCATCATAATTAGTCTTTGTGGCTTAACCAAATATCAGAGTGAATAGAGAAAATTAAAAATATTTTAAAACAACTCAATATATTTTCAGATTGTCTAATATTTCCCTAGTTACCTGGTAGAGTAGAGGAGGTACCGAAATACACAATCCTGAAATATCATTTTATTTTATTGTATCATTGTTACCGTTATTATATTTATTACAGGAATTCTTAAAAAGGGAGAGTTCTCAAAAAAACGAAAGGGGGCAAATTCTGATACCGAATTTAATTTGATTAAGATTACTACTAATTTTATTTTTATCTGTTGCCTCTATTAGGAGAAAATGATTTTAAACGTTTTGTACCTAAGAGCGTAGCATCCAAAAAAATTAACTTTATAGTTGTATTAAATCCACTCAGATCGAAAATAATTATTTAAATTTTAAACCAATCATTGAATTGTACGTTTATTACTTGTAATATCTGGATATTGCGTTTCAAATCTTAACGTTTATTACTTGTAATATCTGGATAATGCCTTTCAAATCTAATTGAATTATTTACGGTCTGGGTCAGGTGGATTTAACGGTTCTGTGGCCCTACGCCCTTGAGCATAAAACGTTTTTAGCCATTTTGTCCATTTAGAGGCAACAGATAGAGGTAAAATTAGTAGCGATCAAACTCGAATTTAATTCGGGATCAGACTCTGCCCCCTTTCAATCCTTTCAAAAGAATTAAAGAGAAACTTGTTAGTAGTTGTCCAGTAGTTATTATCAGTAATACTCATCTTTATTATTTTTATTAATATTATTCTCATTATTGTTATTATTAATTTACTAATATGATTAATATTATAGCTTTCATTATTATTATCAATGATTATGTTAATATTATTATTACCAAGGCTCCAGATAGATGTAGCAATGAAGATTGTTTTTAACCTGGATAGTCGGGGCCTCAGGGGGTTTATGATAGCATTGTACCTAGATATTTATCTTAGAGTATAGATATAACTAGAGATTAACATTTGGATCTAGCTATACATCTTAGAGTATAGATACAACTAGAGATTAACATTTGGATCTAGATATACATCTTAGAGTATATATATAACTAGAGATTAACACTTGGATCTAGATATACATCTTAGAGTATAGATATAACTAGAGATTAACATTTGGATCTAGATATACATCTTAGAGTATAGATATAACTAGAGATTAACACTTGGATCTAGATATACATCTTAGAGTATAGATATAACTAGAGATTAACACTTGGATCTAGATATACATCTTAGAGTATAGATATAACTAGAGATTAACACTTGGATTTAGATATACATCTTAGAGTATAGATATAACTAGAGCTTAGCATTTGGATCTAGATATACATCTTAGAGTATAGATATAACTAGAGATTAGCTTTTGGATCTAGATATACATCTTAGAGTATAGAGTTAACTAGAGTATAGATTTAACTAGAGTATAGAGATAACTAGAGAATAGCATTGTACTTAGATATACAGCTATATACAGCTTAGAGTGTGGATTTAATTAGAAAATAGATATGCATTTTAGAGAATATATTTAACCAGAGAATAGATTGTACCTAAATATAAATCTTAGAATAGACTAGATTATACCTAGTTACACATCTTGGAGTATAGATTCAACTAGAGAATTGCAATGTAGTTATAGCTTATATTCCAATTTTGATTTTAGAAAATGATTCAATATTGACAATTGTTAAATAAATAAAGCACTCCAAATGGTTTTAATCAGAGACTTGTTTCTCGATCCGGGAATGGATCCTTAAAATCCAATCTTTCCCAGTTTTGAACTAATATTCCCTGAATTCGTTCTCTTATCTACTAAAATTTCACCAAATTATTGAGGTTTTTCAGGTTTCAGAAACATCCTTTAACGTTTAGATAGTCTGAGTTGTTTTCCAAAATTAGAAAATTATTGTATTTTGTGTATTTTCAAACAGGCGAAAACCTGAATAAGTTTCACGTAGATAAGTCCTCTAAATATTTAACCAATCTAGAGAACAATAGGCAAAAACTTTTTGAACTTTTCTTTACAAAATTCTAGATTTTTTTCTGTAAAAGTTTGTGAGAAGCCTTATCTTGTGTCTTGGTAAAATTATTGCATAGTGCATAATAAAAGCCAACTTTTAGAATACAATTATTTGTAAAACTTCCCAGGCTTCTGTGGAGACTGTTTAAAGTCCAGGAACATTAAATGTTTAGTTAATGACGCAAATACCATGCCCTGGACAATTTGTATATCTAAGGACGAAAAATTGTGCAGATGCATGGATGTTAGAGATTATTGGAGAGATTCTAAACCAAAAGTTTTTTGAGCGAAAAATTAGACAAAGCTACAAAACTTTAGTATCTAATACGATAGCGTAATTAGTATCTAATGATGTAGTGCAATATAAGACAGTTTAGAATTTTATAAGTTAGTGTATACCAGTTTAGAATATAATAAACTAGTGTAGTTTAAGACAGTTTAGCATCTAATAAATTAGTGTAATATAAGACAGTTTTGAATTTAATAAGCTAGTGTAATATAAGACAGTTTTGCATTTAATAAGCTAGTGTAATGTAAGACAGTTAAGTATTAAATAAACAAGTGTGAAATAAGACAGTTTACAAAATAATAAACTAGTGTAATATGAGACAGTTAGTATTAAATAAACTAGTGTAATATATAAGACAGTTTAGTATGTAATAAACTAGTGTAATGTACGTAAGACATTTAGTATCTAATAAACTAGTGTAATGTAAGACATTTAGCATCTAATAAATTAGTGCAATGTAAAACAGTTTAGTATCTGATAAACTAGTGTAATATAAGACAGTTCAGTATATATTAAACAAGTGTAGTATCTAATAAACTAGTGTAATGTAAGACATTTAGCATCTAATAAATTAGTGCAATATAAAACAGTTTAGTATCAAATAAACTAGTGTCATTTAAGTTTAGTATTAATAAGCTATTGTCATAAAAGTCAGTTTATCATACATTTGTATCCTAGTAATTGTAGAACAAGAAAATATATAATTAAAGAAAAAAATAATGAAACTAAAATGATACGTATGAGGGTGCAAATATTGTGTTGTTTATAGTGTATACTTAGTTTATCGTAAAAATAAATATTTATGTTTATTGAAGGAAATAAAAGTCGACAAGTGGCATTGCTGTTGTTTGGGTGTGATCATTTCATTTAACAAAATTTGTTGGAACACTGGAGCCAAATTCAACTAAAGAGAATTATTCTTCAAATTTTCTTGAATGACATTTATCATAGTATCAACATTTGAAGAAGTTTATCCAGCTAGAAGTTTCAAAAAGATATTACCTTAAACTATATGATAGTGTCATGTACTGTATATATTGGTGTCCTGTACTGTATATATGGTGTCCTGTACTGTATATATTGGTGTCCTGTACTGTATATATTGGTGTCCTGTACTGTATATATTGGTGTCCTGTACTGTATATATTGGTGTCCTGTACTGTATATATTGGTGTCCTGTACTGTATATATTGGTGTCCTGTACTGTATATATGGTGTCCTGTACTGTATATATTGGTGTCCTGTACTGTATATATGGTGTCCTGTACTGTATATATTGGTGTCAGGTACTGTATATATTAGTGTCCTGTACTGTATATATTGGTGTCATGTACTGTATATATTGGTGTCCTGTACTGTATATATTGGTGTCCTGTACTGCATATATTGGTGTCCTGTACTATGTATATTAGTGTCCTGTACTGTATATATTGGTGTCCTGTACTGTATATATTGGTGTCCTATACTATATATATTGGTGTCCTGTACTGTATTTATTGGTGTCCTGTACTATATATATTGGTGTCCTGTACTATATATATTGGTGTCCTGTACTGTATATATTGGTGTCCTGTACTATTTACATTAGTGTCCTGTACTGTATATATATTACCTATCCACGGATATAGCAACCAGGGTGAACACTGAACACGTCACAGAGATTAGAGAGAAGTAGGTTCCAAGTTTACAGTACACCCATCCTAGAATATATAGTTTTAAGTACACCCATCCTAGAATACATAGTTTACAGTACACCCATCCTAGAATACATAGTTTACAGTGCACCCATCCTGGAATATATAGTTTACAGTACACCTATTATAGAATACATAGTTTACAGTACACCCATCCTAGAATACATAGTTTACAGTACACCTAACATAGAATACATAGTTTACAGTACACCCATACTAGACTATATAGTTTACAGTACACCCATCCTGAGTCCGAAATTTAAAAGAGTATCGTCGAACGAAACTCCCGAGTGTCCTTTTTGGGATCTTAACATTTTGTAGATTTTGATTAAAGAGATTCGACAAAAATGGAGAATATAAAGAAACTAAATAAAATAGTATTTTATGACAAAAATATTGATATCAACAAAACTGACTAACCCCATTCGTGAAACCCGGGTTTTAAAACTGGTTTTCATAACGATACCCTGTCTTAAGTTTTGGGCTCTGGAGTACATAGTTTACAGTACACCTATCATTGAATACACAGTTTACAGTACACCCATCCTAGAATTCATAGTTTACAGTACGCCCATCATAGAATACATAGTTTACAGTACACCTATCCTAGAAAGTATATTGTTCACAGTACATCCATCCTAGAATATAAAGCTTACAGTGCACAATATAGAATATATAGTTTACAGTACACGCATCTAGAATATATAATTTACAGTACACCCATCATAGAATACATAGTTTACAGTGCATCCATCATAGAATTAATAGTTTACTGTTCACCTATCATAGAATACATAGTTTACAATACACCCATCCTTGAATTTATAGATTACAGTAGACCCATCTTTGAATATAAAGTTGACAGTACACATCTTAGTAATTTAGTTTACAATACACCCATCATGAAATATATAATTTACAGTACATTCATCCTAGTTAGTTTACAGTGCACATCCTAAAATATTTACAAAATCTAGAATATATAGTTTAAAATATTTAGAAAGAAGTTTGAGCATAAAAGAAACTCATCAGCAACCCTAGAGACACGAATTAAAAACAAACAGAGAATTTAGGAACTTTTGTAAATAGAATTGTACAAGGAACTTCTAATTTCTTGAACAGAAAAAAAGAAATGTTAAGAATTCTTGTAACTGAATTAAAAAAGAAAAAAACCAAGCTCTTGTTAAGTAGATGTGTTGGTGTTTAGAAATTAAAATCATAGTTTTTTTCTGTAATGCATAGATGAAATATCTTATTAATTTGACATTATTAGCATCTAATTTTAGACAATTTATTTTCTATGTTCTATAATCATTAGACATATAATAGTTTCATTGTAGATCTATTGAAGGTTTTTTCAAATTTGTGTTTCCAAAATACTTTGCTGATCAAAGATAAGAGTTTAGAACCAGTGTTTGGTTTGTGCAGTGCTATTAAAGAAAAGTGAAACCAACCATATTTATGCCGCGGTTCAAGTTCTTTAAATTTGACCCCGCAAAGGTTTTTACCAGTCTTCATGACTCCTCAGTTTATAATGGAGCAAACACACATTTACACTTTAATCAAGCAATCATCCTAGTGTATCATCCTAGTGTATCATCCTAGTGTATCATCCTAGTGTATCATCGGCATAAACTCTGCTATGCTTTGCTGTATGTAATTCAAACTTTTTAAAATCAGGGTTTCAAAGAGAATACTCACTGACTATTGAATCATTTGATTCACACTGAGGATAATTCAATCGAATTGATACGAACAGAGTGAATCGCATTTTTATTCTCAGTCTGTTCTTAGAAATTTTTAAAAATTGTATCCTGCAAAAAGCTTTATTTGAAGCATATAACTGGAGTGTAATGTCGCCATATTAGAGTTTATTTCATATAAATGAATTCTATTTTATTCTAATGCAGAATAATCATGATAGGATTATCAAGTTTTCAAACGTCATGATGAGCTTATTAAGATTATATTGCATGTATGCAATAGTGTATGTCTGTCTGTTTGCTATACACTGTATTTCCACCACCCAAAACCGGTCTTTATATTAAGTATCTCTGATTTAAAAAGGCGGTTTAACTTCTTCGCAGGATGATTTATTTCTCTATAAGGAAGTTCATCGTATGTTTCCATTATAGTACGCGATATACTACATGAATTACGTTGCATAACATTCCTATTCAAGGAAGGCAAAGATAAAATAGCAGGGTCATTTGACAGTACGTTCACAATAAACGCTTTGTAGTTATAGGTCTCAGGGAAAGCATTTATGTCTACCAATAGTAGTTGATTAACTAACCTGAAAAACATTTCTAATATTCCGGAAATCAAACCAAACATGGAATAAAATATATGAAATAAATTTGTTAAAAGATAATTTAACATTTAAAAATGTGTCCAAGGTTAAGTTATTATAAACTATGCATGCTGTGATCCTTGGCTTTCTCAATAAAACATGTTCTCTTCAGAATCAATGCTACAATTGAATACTTTTCTCAATAAAAACATGTTCTCTTCAGAATCAATGCTACAATTGAATACTTTTCGTTGATTACTTCTTTTATTGAACAACTCTCATTCATAGAACTAAAAATTCTGCTGTAAAAAAGAAAAAAAAAATATTTTTATTCTAACAGTGTTGAATAGTAATCCACCCTATAATGTAAATCCCAATCATAGAACAAGCTGGGTGGATACTTGTTAAATGTCGCACTTTTACTGTATTTTTTGTATTATAGAAATAGAGAAAATCATTAATCGCATTTTATTACGAATTAATTAGAGCTTTCAAGATCCCTGACATTCTGAGATGACAGTGGTAATAATTAAATTTGATTAATTTCCACAGTTTAAAATTGTTTTTACAAATTTGGACAGATGTGTGTGCAAAACTCCTGATAGTCTGATAGTATTCTATGAGACGTGTCCATGATGTTTGCTCTATCTCACAAAACTAGGAAAATGAATTAAAATCTTGGTGCAGGAGGAGAAAGTACTTAGTATTCACAGTATGTGGGCCCTGAATGATCAATTCTCTTTCATGAAACCAGAATTCTTCCAAGATATTTCCCGAGGTATGCAATATAAATGTGTATATTATAGATTTAAAGGAAAATATAGATATCTATATTTCAACAGTTTGGGATCAAGGAATGAATGAAAGGAGAAAAACTACCTAATCCATCCTAAATTAAAGATTAACAATGTTTTCACAAAAATCATTTCTTGTTAAAAGAGCTTGTGAAATTTAAGAATATATTTAAGAAAGTTTTTCATCGATTCTCTGCGCATAAACTAGAAAAGGAATCTAAATTTCCAAATCCCTATATCTGAGGAACCTGATGGTGTGAATCTGTGATATTTAAAACTAAGATTATTTGATTTAACAGAAGTCGTAGTTTAAAATATCTTAAGTTTATGAAATTTGGTTGCAAAGATATAGGGACTAGAAAATCAGAGTTAGTGGCAAAGACTCAATTTAAAAATAAAAATTCTGAAACTGTGTTTTCTTAAATATACATATATATATATATATATATATATATATATATATTCTGTTTTGCATAAGTTCTTTAAAATCTATTTAAATTGAAGTTGGGTTTGTTTGTTTAGTAAATAGATGGATCCTACTTCAGTAAAATAGAAGAAATAATATTAGTGAAACCTTTAAATAATCTTTTGAATACTCATATATCACACTGGGCCGTAGTAAATTTGAATTCGAACAGGACCTGCCCAGTTTGTACCGGCCTGCCAGATAACAGCGTGTACTGACCCGATCCTATGGTACATTACGTCGCCCTAACCAGACTAACATTCGACAAGGGTCAATTTTCTTGGCATAGTCCCGGCCGTGAGAGGGCTAACTATGACAACTCCCATGGCGCGTTCAGACTTTTTACAGTAACCGACCTAATCCTAGGCCTATTTGACCAACCCCACTGGCTTAGTCCACCGTGTCTTTTATTGTTTCAAGCAACAAGATAAATTTTGAATTTGACAGATAAGTTTGCCAGCTATAGATCAATTTTTGTGCTATTTTTTCACATATTGCGATTTTTTTTATTTGTTAAGAATTAGTAACTTTAAAAAAAACCACCTCGTAGATGTAAGAAAAACAGATGTTTAAGAAATTAAGTTTTTGCCACAAACTCTGATTTTCTCATCTCTATACATCTTAACGTTATTTCAAACTTCGATTATTTTATCTAACATAATTTCACTATAAAAATATTCGGTTTCAAAGATATAGGGATTAGAAAATCAGAGTTTGTGACAAATACTTAATTCCTTTACAATAAAAATAAATGAAGAAAAAAAAATTACCAAAAGGCCAGTTTCCGGTGAGCATGTACGCAAAGTTTGGGATAACGTTGAAGGTAGCGTTGATGATATCTGCTATGGACAGGTTTACCAAGAAGTAGTTCGTCACAGACCTCATTCGTTTATCCGAGATCACGATCCAAATCACTGAAAATAGAAATCAAATCAATAAATAATATAAACAGCTATTTCTGAGAAAAAAGCAATTAACCTTTACTTCTAGTTTTTATGAACTCGCAAGCTCGGCAATCGGAATCACAAAAATGTTTTCTTTTCTTTACAAAATTAGCCAAACAGGATAATGCACAAACAACAAGAAAATGAATATCTAGAAAAAACTGAAATATTAAAATATTTGCGGCTGCTATCATCGAAATATTTTTACAGAACTTTGTTAAAATTTAAATTTAAAAAAATATGTTAAAAAAACTTAAAGTTTTTACCAGAAATGGGAGCCATTAAACTATGGAAAAGGAAGACGATATTTTAGCATGTTATGTTTATAATTGACGCTGTGATAAAGCAAAACGTATTATCAGTAGATTAAGATTTAAATATCAAATTAAATGGGTTTACTTACATTTTCAACATATTCTGATCAGTTTCATTTAACATTATTTGTGAAACAAATGCATTTTATGTTTTTCAAATCTAAACTGCGACAAATTTCAACCATTTATTTTTCTTCAGAAATCCACGATTCACATTTAGCAAAGCAACCGCTTCAGTTAATTAATTTTAGGATAGAAATATAAATAAATCACTACTTTTTAGAACAATGCATATTTATATGTCTAAACCTTTAAACCTTTTGTCTTTTAATTGAAAATGATATATTTTCCGAGAAACACGAAAAGAAAAGTTTTCAAAAGAATTGTAAAACTTGCTTCAAAACTGTAAAGAATGCTGGTGACCATGTTCCAAATGTTTTCATTATAAATTCATAACTGCGCATTCTTATCTCTATATTGTATGGCAGCATGGTCCAGTAGTGAAAATAGTTTCAATCTAAACATTCGACTTTTTACTGGATTCAATGTGATTGTAAAGTCAGAACATTGTTGATTTTGAAAATTAAAATGAAAGCATAGATTTAGTTAAAGCTACTATTTTTAATTAAAGGGACTGTAAGCGTAATTTGAAGTGTTTTTCTATTTAAAGAGAGACATCCTCGATTAACAACGGTATCTTTTAACCTTTGCCTCATCATTGAAAACAGAGAAATCAGTGTATATGCTCGAAAATGCTGTGTAAAAGCCGTGAAATTGGAGTTTACGCTAGTGTACAGTGTGAACTCAACGCTATTGACGTATGAAAAATCTATTTTATTCTTTTTCCAACGAGGTTTTACAAAACTCAAATGTGTTCAAGAATTACAAGCGTAATAATTAGACTGCCATCCTTGATCAGTCAAAGGTTTAAAGAGTACCATGGTGAATGGGAGGTTTAAAGAGTACAATGGTGAATCGGATGTTTAAAGGCTACTATGGTGAATCGGAAGTTTAAAAAGTACCATGGTGAATGGAAGGTCACTTGAAAGTGCGCTTACAACAGACCATATGAAGAAACGAGACAATTTAAAGAGGATGAGAGCTAGAATGCGTACTTATGATTACATTAATCAAAAAAAAATGTGCACAAAAACTCGATATCGATACATTTCGAGAGCCCATTTATTTGTGATCAAAGCTTTTGAGTGCATGATGTCGAGATTTCAATATTTAGTTTGTTTTGGTGTACTTTGGTCAAACTTTGATGGACTTGATTCAATAAAAAAGATCAATCTTGGAGAGAGACTGAGAGTGTATGACTTCTAGCTTTAGAAAAAGCAAATTTACGGGGGGGGGCGGGGTACCTTCGCCCCCTTGAGATTGTGGGGAAAATTTATTTCCAAATTTGATACAACAATGTTCTCAATTTGATAAATCGTATGTACCCATTTTTCAAGTTATGTGAAGGAATTATGATATTAAATATTAATAATATTTCTATCATAATATTGTTCCTATATTACTTGCATAATAATGCATACGCATAGTAATTAATCAAAATTGTAATATTTTTCCTAATTGACAGGATATTACAAGTTTCCTAGTAATTTATTTTTGTTCTTAACTGGCTTTATGTTCCTATTATTGACTAATATTCCTAATGCTTGTACATTGTACAGTATGAATAGCCTTTTTTTGAGCACATGTATATTTCCTTTTTTGTTCCTTACTTGTAACTTGCTTTATGTTCCTTTTTTGTTCCTTACTTGTAACTTGCTTTATGTTACTTTTTTGTTCCTTACTTGTAACTTGCTTTATGTTACTTTTTTGTTCCTTACTTGTAACTTGCTTTATGTTCCTTTTTTGTTCCTTTGTTGTAACTTGATTTATGTTCCTTTTTTGTTCCTTACTTGTAACTTGATTTATGTTCCTTTTTTGTTCCAAACTGTAATCTTATTCCCTAAATTCCTGTTGTTATTCCTATTTTCAGAATTTTTTGCAACTAAAATATTTACCCCCCCCCCCCCGGCCTCTGTTAATGACGTTATTACCAAATACCGATATTCATTGTTCCTTTTTTAACAGAAATATAGAAGATATATTTATAAAACTTTTGTTCTAAATATAGAAGATATATTTATATAAAAAATGTTTGTTGCAGCCAAGTCTTCACTTTTGTACATGACATGAATTCTTTTAGATCAAATGATCTAAGGTTTAAACCATAAAGTTGCAAAGATGCCAAAATTAGAGTTTGTGGCGATGGATCAATTCCTTTCTAAAATTGTCCCATTTTATTCTCAAGTTAATAAAAATGTCATTTTTAAACTAAATTTTTTTTTCTTTTTGGAAATTGTTAGCGATCACTTTAATGCCTAATATCTGAACAATCTTATAAATAAGCTGGAAGACAGGAATGGTAAAGGAGTTTAATATCTTTTAACTTAAGCATTAGATCAGTACCAATTTGTATAATCTAAAGAAATATTTCATTGAACTGTTTCCCTGCGAATCAAAAATCCCTTTTTTTCTGATTTCAGGTTTGGACATGGTTAAAAAGCATTAAAAGCATTAAAAAGTAGTGTTGCTTTTGTCAATATTATTTGAAATAAATATAGTAACAACCCGAATTTATATATTTTGTATATATAACTATGTTCGTTAATTTCTGAACAGACCTATCGGTCCATACTTATACTAACCTGTACAATTAAACCTAAAATATATATTAGTTAAATATGAACCACTGTTTTATTACGATCAGAGTAATATTGCTCGGTAGGGACGATAAATTTCTATAGCGTTATGTGTCGATAAATACATACTTCAGAATACAGAGAGAGTTGTAACTGGATTGATACAGAATAAAGTATTATTGGAGATTGTAGAGTTCGAGAGAGAGTTGTATCTGGTTTGATGCATACTTAAGAATACAGGAATAGTAGTATCTGGTTTGATGCATACTTAAGAATACAGGGATAGTTGTATCTGGTTTGATGCATACTTAAGAATACAGGGATAGTTGTATCTGGTTTGATGCATACTTAAGAATACAGGGATAGTTGTATCTGGTTTGATGCATACTTAAGAATACAGGGATAGTTGTATCTGGTTTGATGCATACTTAAGAATACAGAGAGAGTTGTATCTGGATTGATGCTTACTTGAGAATACAGAGAGAGTTGTATCTGAATTGATGCATACTTAAGAATACAGAGAGAGTTGTATCTGAATTGATGCATACTTAAGAATACAGAGAGAGTTGTATCTGGATTGGTGCATACTTAAGAATACAGAGAGAGTTGTATCTGGTTTGATGCATACTTAAGAATACAGAGAGAGTTGTATCTGGATTGATACAGACTTAAGAATACAGAGAGAGTTGTATCTGTATTGATACAGACTTAAGAATACAGAGAGAGTTGTATCTGTATTGATACAGACTTAAAGTATTATAAGTATTATTGGAGTAAAGCATTTGTTATATACTTTCTCCATAAAGAAAGCTTATTGTTATTGTATAAGTTCACAAAACTTTAAAAATGAAGTGAGTTAACTTTGATAGATCTAAGGAATTTAAAATTAGAGCTTTAAAGAAAAAATAAGGATCTTGTAAAACAATTTTTAACTGTTAATCGATTTTACTTGAATTTTATGATAATATATAATATACTATGATTAAAAAATGTTTAAGATAACCCTGCCTAATAACAATCATTCATGCAAAAACGAAATTTTCTTAAAAAGAAGTAATCGAAAAGAAGTAATAAATGATCTCATAATATTTAATCACAAAATATAATTTGCAAATCTTCTTAAAAGCACAGTTAAACCAGCACGTACATAGATAGATTTAACCAGATATTTGCGATCTAAAATTTGATTATCTAAATATCTAGATTAAAGCTAGAGACAGATAATACATTATACAATACAATAAGTTTCGAACTTCTATAGGATAGAAATTCAAATCCCTTGTTGCTAGTTACTGAAACAGGCTGCTTTAAAAAATATTTTAAGTTTTACCAGTTCCATTTTAAAGAGATTTGAAAATGATTTATCTGAACCGGAAACAGTGTTCCATTCGCTTTAAGGTAATCAAAATTTACTTTGTTTTTCTGTCAGTCTGTTTGTTTGTTTGTGTCCCATAAACGGCAAAACGACTAAACCTGAGATGGGCGCTTCGAGCACTGGAAGCCTAGTTTTAATGTAAATTACCTACGTAGTTTTGACAATAATTACCTACGTAATTTAAGTAGCAATTACCTAAACATAGTTCTAATTTCCTAGGTATAATTACAGCAATTATCTACGTTGTATGATAAAAATAACCGAGGTAATTTTAAAATAATACACCTACGTAATTCAAATAGTAATTACATTTACCTGATAATTATCATCATCGTAATTACCTGTATTTCTAACAATTGTCGTCGTCGTCGTATATTGAATACAATGAAGATGCTTTTTAATTGCTATTTTAGATTTCTACACCAAGCTTTCAAACAACATGGATATATTAGATGCACATAAACGTGGAAACAACGAGAAGACTTCAATTAACAGCTTCTTTTTGTTCACTTGTAAACATGTAATTTGAAAAAAAGGTTGATAGAAATCATAACTTAAAGAGAAACGTCGTCTTCATTGTATTGA